TTTACCATAAATGATCCTTGTTGCTAAGAGAAGGCTAGGCAGTCACTCAAAGCTGGTTCCATTCCAATCCGTGGGCCCCATGTGAGGTTCTTCAGACGTTCTTCTGGGTTTAATCATAAAGCAGAAATCTCCAATTATAACGTTAAAGAACGTATGATCTTTGCGGAACTTCTCCAAGTCCATATAGAACGACTCGATTTTGCGTTTGTCATAGCTTCATGTCGCATGGTAGACGACGAGCGACGAAGCCAGTATTGATCCACATCTCTTCAACCGTAAAAGCCAATTTGGGTTGTTAATTGTTCGAATGAATCGATGTTCAAGGCCAAACGTCCATACACTTCTATTGTCGCATGTTCACTGAAGAACAGTTCTTCTCTGGTGTCATAGACAGCTTTAAATGGATGACGCCTTCTCGTCTGGGCCAGTCCAATGATGTCCTTCTTGCCTGCATGATCAAGCCCCCTATTGAGGACTCAGATGCAAGTGTGCGTAAATTGTAGGTACAGATCTTCACATTGGCGAGTACTGGGTTTATTCAAGTGTAGGTGGCCAGTTTGTCCCAGAGTAGACGAGGGGCTTATCTGTTGGATGCTAGCCCTACCGTTTCCCATTTAGTTTCCGTCTCTCGATCGTCGGCTTTTAGCCGAACTGACTCGTAGAATGAAATCCGCATAAACAAAACACACCCACGCACGCATTACCGAATACGTGACTGTAAATACAGAAGGTGTGCGCCAAAAGGGAGCGTGTAGTGCAATGGTCAGAGGAGCCCGGCAATATATATGGGATCGATCTCCGCCCAGACTCACTAAGCCTTCCATTCCTCCGGGGTCAATAAATTAATACCGGACTTGTCTAGAACGATATATCAATGGCTCGATAAATCGGTAGGCAGCCGCGAGTTATTGTAAAGGCTAGATATTCATTCGATCATCTCTAATGATGCTTAGCAAAGCCGAATGCATGGCACATCCCTCAAGGATTAATCAACATCGAGAGTTTTATACTTTATCTTTTATGTGCCATATCGGAGCAGGCGAACGTTCACGATTAAGCCCTCATCCGCCACCTGGGAACGCATCACGTTCTCTCGCAACTAACCGGCATGAGATCCCTCTATGAAGAAGATCCATGGCCAAAATAACATAAGGCTTGAAAATTTACAGAAGAACGAAAACATTTTGGTCTGCTTCCGTTGCGAGTATGTCTATTCCATAGGTCCTTGAAAATAAAAAAATTTGGCACTAGACACAGTAATCAAACAATAACTGGAACTCGAACATCTTCCCTCACACACACACCGGTACACACGCCAACACACAAATAGGCAAGACGGTGCCCAAATTTTGCAAGATGAATCAGGTTAAGGGTTTACAGAGGGCAGAAAGCAGGAAAATTAGGAGGCAGTTATCATGTCGTAAGGGTCTTCCTTTTTGAACAAAAATATGGTTTACCCTTGAATAGGAATCTTTTATTCCAAAAGGGACGTGTGATGAGTCGAGTTAGTGTGTTGAAGGATAACAGAAGGTTCTTCAGATGTTCTAGCGTTATCCTGTTGGGATCGCGTGTTGTATAATTCCTCACCTACGAAATAGCACGCGGGATTTCGCAACGAAAAACCAATAGGATGATATATGCGTTCTCTTTTACTTCACTTAATGAAGTGGTAATTGAAAAGATCCGAATAGTAACCGTAAATAATTTTCTACAATGGTTTCTGGAGCTGTAACTATTTCGTTTGGGCGTCGATGTGCAATTATGTTGGCCTAATAATTAGCGAAATTTTGGTGGGCGTTGCGGATGCCCTTCCCCGCCTCTGCAGCTTCATTCATTAGTGCTCCTTCTGTCCCATTGGGATCTCCTTTTACCGCCTCTCTGCACAGCTTTGCAAGTTCGGTCGCAAGAGCGTGATTTCCTGCTGCTCTGCGATTGCGTGTTGGCGGATTTGCTCATGTTTATGAAAACAGACGCTTTTGGTTATTTCCAAACACTACTCTCGTAGTACTAACGTGGGAATGTTGAATAAGTTGATCGTATTCTCCATCTGTCATCAGTAACGGCATTTCACTAGAGTCATCTGAGAAGGAATTTAAAAGAAAATACCGAAAATTGAATCACGAATGGGCCAAAATGGCAAGGGCTGCTGGTTTAAAACCATCAGTTATCTCTCAACTTAAAGTTGACTTACCAACATGCCCCGTCTTGTACTTACTTATAAAAACTCATAAGTTACTATCCAGCGATGATCTTGCATCTAACGATCCATCACTATTTAAGGTTAGACCTATCATTAGCTGCGTAGACGGGCCAACGGACAGGATAACATGGTTTTTAACCCTAATATTTAGCCAGTTGTTGAAACACATTCCAGCCCATCTTACGAATACCCAGATGTTTTTGGATCGTCTACTAGTGCGCAGCCCAACAGCGCGTGCGTGATGGAGTCCTTCGACGTTACCGCCCTTTATACAAACGTGTCGAATGACTCCGCAATGCAAGCCATATTCGAACTCCTTACACAACACGAAGGAGAAATAAACATGTATGGCTTCAAGATAGAGCAGTTGATGGCACTCTTAAAAGAATGCTTGAGCTGCTCAATCTTCAGATGGTCTGGAAAGTACTACGCTCAAATAAGAGGGTTGGCAATGGGACAACGACTAGCTCCAAGCCTTGCCATTGCATTTAGGTCTAAGGTGGAAGCACCGGTGACTGATCTCGGACCGCTACTCTACTGTAGGTATGTAGACGACTGTTTTGTCCTTTGCTCAACACGAGAGGAAATGGACAAATGTTTCGAGTTGTTAAATGCACAGTAAAAGTATATCAAGTTCACCCGAGAAAAGCCGAAAGAAAAATGGCTTCCATTTTTGAACGTACAAACGAACGAACGAACGTTCACCTATCAGAAAATCGCTACATTACAAAGTGGTACCAAAAGCCAAGTAGTAAAAACATCTTGGTTCATTACCTCTCCTCTCACCCCTCTCGCACGAAAAGGGCGCTTATAAGAAACATGTTTCGAACAGCAACCAACGTGTGCACGGGAAGAGAGCAGAGAGAGGAGTCCCGGAACTTGGCACGGCAAATAGCCATTTCTAATGGCTACGAAACTGTAGCTCAGGATAGGTGTAGGAGAAATCCTAGGCCTCCAAACGACAACTGTAGCGATAGAAGGGTCCGTTTATCCTACCCTTCACCTCAAATGATATAAGTACTGCTATAAAACGCTGCTTAAGAAGGGCGGGCTTAGAGAATTCGGTAAGCGTAGTTGAAATACCACCGAGTAATCTTAAGCGCCAGCTAGTTCGTAACCGCCTATATGACCGTCTGTGTGCAACTCAAAATTGCATAATTTGCCCCAGTGGTAGATAGAAACGGTGATTGCATGAGCTCGGGTATAGTTTATCTGATCTCCTGTAAGACGTGTGGTGACGAATACATTGGCGAAACGGGCATATCCTTCTGTGTCCGCATAAAAGAACACCTAGCCGGCACACATAGACCAAATACTCCGCTAGGTACGCATAGGACCCAGAGACATAACGGGGAGGACTTTGAAGTATGTGTCACGATCCTAGCACGCGAATCAAGAACACAGGCGCGAAAAACTCTCGAGGCACTCTGGATTAATTCCAGAAATCCGAAAATGAACCGCAGAGAAGAATGCCTCATTATCACGCGTGATAATGGGCAGTATATAAGACTGCTATTCTGATGGGAGGGGCACATTATGCTTCCATGTGATTTCTGAGCGGTTGGTCTCTACGTGACATACTTAGTGGAAACCTCATAGAAAGCGGTGAGTGTGCAAAGCTGTGTTCAAAGTGATTGAAATCTTGGTTTAGAGTTTCTTTGTCTGGTTATGGAGGCATCTGGCCGAGTAGATTGCTATCAATTTGACCTTTTCAGACTCGGAGAAAGGCGAAATCCGCCGAAACGTCAGCTTATTCGTGAATAAAGAATAATAACACCTCGCGTTTGCTCAACAAAAATACGAAGAATCTGAATAAAATTTCTTTTCGAGAAGATGGCTCACTGAGGAAGACCTGACTCGACACGAACGCGAAGCTGCAACGTCGAGACGAACAACAAGCATGGACCATCGACTCGGATCATCGGCTCTGAGGAAGACGAAGACGTCGGAACGTTAGCCGATAATAAATAAATATCATTATCAACCTCGTGTAAGCTCATCAAAGAAAGAATACAATATAAATAAATCCCAATTAATGGTGTTTTTGAGACTTCGTTTTTTGAGCCTAGAGGTTTTCATTCCTTTCCACGAAAAACCTAATTTCGCACAAAAATATGCCTAGTAGGTTATGTATACGTCGATAATTACTTAGTGGAAACCTCATAGGAAGCGGCTCTGAGGAAGGCGAAATCCGCCGAAACGTCAGCTTGTGCGTGAATAAAGAATAATAACACCTCGCGTTTGCTCAACAAAAATACGAAGAAAATTACGTGATCAATGCCGAGGTTAATAGAAAGTCGGTCGTGGCAGTTAATTTTTAAGTATCACTTACCGTATCCTTCCATTTCACTTCCCCTGGACCAACAAATTAGATACTATGTTTAATTTTTTATTTGCTGCCTACTATTACTTTTTACGGCATGGTATGATATGAAATACAACAATTATAAAGCCGCTGAGATATTTGCAAAACCTGACCCAAGGTGAGATTAGAACACACCATTACCCTTTCCGGGGGTTCATGTATTATCCACTGCACTAATGCTTTGCTTTTCTCTCAGCCAGCTTTCTACCTAATGGCTTCTACCTAACGAAATTATATACTGCTTCAGAAACAGTGCCTGTTCAAACCTATGCCAGACCACTCGAAAGTAATGCTAAGATCTACAGGTTCGATATTTATTGAGCGAAAGCCATTTCACTTCAGGGTAGATTTATTCGCCGTTTTTGAATCTTTTTTTAAAGAAACCTTCTCTTCCCTAGTGTAAGAATTCAGTGGTGACTGTGTCAGGTGTCTGTGTCAAATGAAAACAACGCACTGTTGATCCCTCTTCTCGTCCTCGGTGTTCATGGTGAGGAATCGCAGTACGAGCAGATTCATGGCCGCTGAAATCACCGTCAAGCCGAACAGAATGAACACCAAGGAGAAAACCACGTAGTCTGGTTTATTCTGTAATGCCCCACCTTTCTGTAAGGCCACAAAGTCACCGAATCCTGCAAAACGGAGACATTACGCAGCGTTCAGAACTGATAAAAACAGTAATTTGTCGTTAATTGGAAATAAGGATATGGACTATATGAAGTACAATGCAATAAATATACTTTGTAAAGCGGAACAACTTGATGAGATATAAATATCAGTATGGAGTGGCAAAGGCACTAAAAAATCAGAACTAGGCAGTTCGCATATTTTAAAGACGGTGAAAGGTGGAAAGAGTAGGGGCGGATAGCACAGTGGTAGTAAATTCCGTCATCACGACCATGGTGCCAGTTCGATTCCGCACTGGGCCAACCAAGCCTCTCATCCCTCCGCTGTCGGGAAATTGGTACCGAACTTGTCTGAAAAAATCTGCAATCCAACTGGGAACTCTCCAGTCCGGCTATCTTAGGACTACAAGGAGAATCGAGTCGAGCACCATTCTACAACATTCAAGATGGAATGAAAAAATCCTCAAGAAGCAGTCAAAGCCACACGTAAAAGTTGGAAAATCTCCGTGGGCAATAGATGCGAGGAAGCAAATCGAATGTGAGAAGTGCTGGGATTCGTATGGTAGGCATGAAGACGGACCATATAAAAAAAATTTTTAAAAAAAGGTGGTAAGAAAGAAGAGAGTAGCGTTACAGTACTGCGAAGTAGTTTTTCCATCAATGAGAATATAAAGTATAAGCAAGTATGATACTGATGCACACCGTTCCACATCTTTCCTGTGCTGCTTTCAGCAAACGGAAGTCTCTGATCCTCATTAAAAAATAATCTAGAAAGTGATTAAAGAATAAGAAGCAAAACAAAGGAGGACTGAAGGTTATCTAGCAGATTCGTAAAGACATAGTCCGATGTATAGTTGAAGCAGTCTACATTTATAACGAAAAAGAAGAAAAGTTATATTTTAGTATAAAAAAAGGATAAGCTCTCGGTGTTGATCAATCCCTGAGGAATGCGTCATGAATTCGACTTCATTAAGTATCGCTGGAGGTAACTGAATGCAAATCTGGCCTTTATAATGACTCGCAATGGCCTACCGATGTGTCGAGCCAGTGCTGCTATCCTCTCAAACAAGTCTGGTGTTAATTTTCAGACCCCGGAGTGATGGAAGGCTTGGTGGCCTATGGGCGCGGGGATCGATTCCAAGTGTGTCGCAACAGTGCCTCCAACCACTGCACCACACGTGCCTTTTGTTTTACTATATTTGTAAAATGACTTGAGAAAAACCGACACATTAAGAAATTTGAATAGTCTAACTGCTATTACAACTCAAGTGACGACTCATGAAGGAAAGGTATACGAAGAATGGACAAAGCGTTAGAAAACTAGGAAAAGCAACACCGAACCGATATTGAACTAACCTATGGTGGTGAGAGTGGTGAAACAGTAATAGAGCGAATCGAAATATGTCCAGTTCTCGTATTTTGAGAACGCCAAAGCTCCGAATGCGATGAGTAATGTTCCCAGTCCCGAAGCCACAAATATCAGGTCAATATGAGTTACTGTTGGCGCTCGACCTACAGCCTGGAAATAACCGAGTCAACATTACCGAATACTACAAAACTTTAGAACTTATGAAATCAAGGCACGATGAGGAAGACCGTCGTATTGTTCGGAGTTCCTAGTAGTGTGTTCATGTGTGAATGTTTTTATTTTGCTTGTACATGACTTGCTGCTAATTATACATGAAAAACAAACGAATTTGACATAAGAACTTTCACTAACAATCTATGTCTCATGTAGAAAAAATGACCATAAGCATATAAATAACACTTTACTATGTGTACTTCTTATTTGCTTCCTACTAGAATTTTTCACGGTAGGGTATTATGCGAAGTACAACCACAACGATGATGAGATATTTGCAAAAATCCTCACCGCAGTGTCTGCGGAAGGGAACGAACGCGCTATTACCCTTTCTGGAGGCTAACGCGCTCACCACCACACCATGCGGGTCGATCGTTTCGCCTGTATCTCAGCTAGTTTTCTATTGACACTTATTACTTATTGTCACTTCACCGTTATGACAACCAGGAGAATGAAATTATTAATCAATGTCTTCTTGAACATGTACACTTTCTGGAAGGCAGGTTCAGAACATGTTTTTAAGGTAACGCGCTGGATTACAATATCCAAGATCACAAACCTTCTTCAGAACTCGCAACAGCCTGGCAGCGAAAGTATTCATGCGCTCACCTGAATTTAGAGGATTACTGATTTTCAAATACCATAATTTTCTAACCTGGGTTATACTGCTGCAAAAATTCTTGCAGTTTTTTCGTTCGTTATAGATTTTACAAACATCGATTCCCATTCTTGTTGCTTTCAAACATTCAATTCCGAAACAACCTAGGTTGGTTAGAGGACGCTTTCAGTGCAAATAATATCGTCTCTATTTCAACATTGTTTACTGCCTACTCTTTTTAATGGCAGGGTATATTGCGAAATACAACTACAACGATGAAGAGGTATTTGCAAAACTCCGGACCGTAGGTGTCTGCGGTGAGTGATTGCTGATGGGAAGTGGTCGATAGAACTAGCTGAGAGACAGACGAAACGAAGGACCCGCATGGTGTGGGGTGAACGCGTTACTCTCCGGAAAGGACAGTAGCGCGTTCGTTCATCACCGCAGACACCTGCAGTCCGGAGTTTTGCAAATATCTCAGCAACACTGAAATATCGTCTCACTTTACGAGTTTTGGCTCGAACATGCCACAGTAGAAGCAAACAGAAATGCCATTAAAGTACGGGATCAGAGAACATCTCGCAGGCGATAGAGAATCTCTGAAGGTGATAATCGAAACTGAGCATTGAAAAATTTCTCGATAGGTCGCAAAGAAATTTTTGCGTTAAAAGCAGACTCTACATGAAAAAACAAGCTGTTCATCGGGGTGGACCGGTAGGAAGCACCTAAACACTTTTTCCCAATCGGAATATTCATCAGCACATATTTTCCACGTTTTAACAAGCTATTCGTTTTGAGCACATGGAAGTGACTGCTACGGTATCCGCAGATCCAATGAACCATCTCGAACTTTGGGAAAGCGATTGCAGCAAAGAAATACTGCCATGAAATCGATGAAGACCTACAAATACTCACTGTATACCTCCAAAATAGGATAACCGGAAAGGCTCAATCCTCTTGCACAAAAACGTCTGGTCCTACATCGCACAAGATTTAGAAGTTCAATAAATTGGGCTGAGAAACCCTTTCTCGCCCACGAATATCCCTCCGCCAAACTGCTTCCACTTTTTCAGGCACCTCGACAACTACTTCCAAGAAGAAGTCTCTAACAGCCAAACCTTTAAAGAAACCAAACGAAGAATATGCCGGTTCCAGAGCACTAGATGTTATCGGAAAAAATGAACTTGCTTATGTCCTAAGAAAAATATTTAGACTTCAGGGTTTATTGTTCTGAGTAACAGTTCGTTCAAAAGCGGTCATTACCTTCGTTGCAATTTAATACCTGTGTCTCGACTGAGACACTGCACTTTGTACATCTTGGTATCTCATATTCTGTAAAGCTGTTTCATAGATAGGTCTATAATGTTGCATCGTTGAGATGTCGTAGACGAATACTGATAAATTTAACAACTGAGACAGAATTCAATGAGATGCAACAAGCTGGTTTAACGGTGATTTGATTCCAAAGGAAAAAAACTCGTTGTCATTTCTCGAAAACAACTCATGGTGTTGATCGCAAATATATTGTTAAAGGATATCTTATTAACATACTAAAGCCAGTGATCTTCCCCAGGGTTAAATTGATCGACCACACATATGGTGCTTAGGTTTGTTTCTTTTTTCCCATTTCAGTACTATACGTTCAGCTTGGTTGTGTTTAAAGGAATTATATCCAAAAAAGGACCTTAAGCAAAGACGGAACGTAACGCACCGATACTCTGGAACATAACGAGTCCAAGAGGTATTCCAGCCAATGCATAGAACATACAGAAAAGCTTACCACCGACTGTGAGTGGAGTACTGTGACCGTAACCTAAATTTTTTTCAGATTGGTATAAAATTTTATTACAATTCAAAAAAGAAGCCTTTAAAAACCAAGTAGTTAAAGGAAACATATAACTGGAAAGGTTCTATGGAGAAGATATATCTCGACGTGCATGTTCATTTCCGTTGTAAATCAATCGCAGTGTTTCTAAGAGTTAGTTCAAAGAACAAAGCCGCGTAATAAAACAGAGCTGCAAAACCTAGATAAACGTGGAAATCACCGAATTAAGGGATGAAAAGGATCAATAACTTAGGCGATATCCAACCTACTGAAGACGTTTTAGGTTTCTCTTCAAGGAGCATCGTAATGGACATACCTATTGTGGTGATGACAGTAGTTGCAAAATAGAAAGCACCACTAAACTTCCACTGATAACCCGCCTTATGTGGAACGTTTTTTACGATCGTAGCCTAAAAATGGTAAAAATAAGGAAATCAAGAAGTACTCACTAATGAATGAACAGAATGTTGGAGTGGTAAAAATAAAGTGGTTGTTAGAAAAGGTTTGCTCGGCTAACGTTCCAGCGCTTTCGTCTCCTTCAGAGCCGAATTGACTGGAGTTGATTGTCCACAGTCGTTCGTCTTTGCGAAATGGGTTTTCGTTGTTACATCGAGGTGAATCTTCTTCAGAGGAGCACCGCTCAACTCTCTCTCGCTCGACAAGCCCCTCTTACACTTGTTAATTGGTCAACAGGAAGGCGTAGGCGCCGAAACGTTGGCCGAATAAATCTTTCATAACAACCTCAAGATGGCTTAACAATCTAAGTATTGATAATTTATGCCGAAGCTGAAAGGTGAAGGTGGAGAAGAAAGCCAGTTTTCAAGATACTGCTTTCTTGGATGTTTGAAACAAACTTCCGAAGAGCGCTAAAATTGCCGAATAGAAATCAAGGGATTTTTTTTGTAGGTGGAAATCTTCAAGAAACGAACTTCTAATACGTCGTAGTCAGCATCCGTCATATTGTACTTGGTTTTTAGCCTTTCCTTCACTCGTTGTACGAGCGCACGCTGGAAAATATAACAGTATTTTAAAGAAGCAATCCTTTACGTACTGGTAAGCTAACCCACTAAGAGAATGAACAATCGATAATGTGTGAACTAATGCGAGTCTAAGTTCTTTCTAAGGTCGTCCTATGTTTAGTTTAAGCTTAAAGTGACAGTTAGTACTTGGATTTCTTCTAACTGAAACAAGTTATGACTTCAACAAATAGACAGCAAAAGTACCTACAAATGTTCGGTATATTCTATGGACTACTAAAAGTGAGTAAACTAATTGTTAAGCAGGAACTGTTCTTGAAACGCTTCGTAATCGATAGCAACAAGTTAAACGAACTTTACCATTGTCGACCTCATGGACATTTCTCTCTATCAGTGAGATCAACAAAATCAAAATTTTAGAAGATGGTTCGATGAATATCATTTTTTCAGCTGCTACAACCTGACGAAGCGACGACCTCGAAACGCTAGCAAAGCAAAAATGAGGTAGAAACCAGAGATTTAACGCTATATTTTAGACTGGAGTTATTGAAGAAGCGCATTCCCATATAGTCGCCTTTAATCATTTGTTTCAGAACTTAAAATTAAATGGTAGGTTTAAAATGAGAAGCCATTGGTGCTGGAGAAAACAAATGCTGCCTCCTGGCACGGTCGAAGCGCTAAACCAAAAAGATCTTTAGGTGGCTGTCTGGAGAAACATGAAAGACGTCATACTGTATAGTAAGGATTTGACGACATAACACCCTAACAAATATACAATGTTATGCAAAGGATGTAATAACACTGACAAACATACAACATATGCAAAAGTACGTTCATATTCATCCATACGTACATGTCTGTACAGGCGTTAAAACGTCCATATATCCATAGAAAGCAAGCACACCAGATATACGCAGAAGTAGCGGTAAGTTACTCTACATAGCAGTGAAAGACTTGAATTCTTGTGTTCTTATACTAGGAAAACGAGCGGGTAACGAAGTGGTAGCGATCCCCTCGCTACGCCAACCTACCGTGACAGTCGCTGGACCGCTCTCGTTGCTCACCGAGTCTCTCATCCTTCCAGGCTCGGTAATTTAGTACCGGACATGTCCGGGAGAAACCCACTTCCTGTAATCTACATGGGAACGCCCTGACACAGCTATTCTAACTCGGCGGCATACGTGACGAAGGTGATGAAATTTCGAGCAACAGCAGAACCCACGTGCAAGAAGTTCGAAGGAATTCGTGGTTGGTCAGTGCGAGAAAAATAATAAAATGCAAGAAGTGCTGGGATGCACAAGTGTGATACAGGTGATGTTTTAATGCGGTAACGAATTTGCAACAAATTAAAAAACTAGTGTGCCAGGAACACGACAACAGAGGACAAAATGGAAGTGGTTCTAGGATAATTTGCGGTGAAGCATTGTTATTTAGAAACTTAAATGGCCCTTCCTCACTGGTTATGCGGACCTCAGCATAATCACTTTTTCGAATTTGCTGGTTAAGCCATTGTGATTCACTGGAGTCTCGAAGCCAGCCAGGCCAAAGTCTGGCCCAAGTCGTCACCACCACAGGCAGTAGCAGCCCTTGTGGATCAGAGAGATTCCCGATCAGAGAGATTCTCTTAGCTGGCTTCCCGATGGAAACGCCGAAATCGTTCTTAGGAGACTCTGCCAGTGGGATGAATTCCCACACTGTACATCGCAGTTCAACACCGAGAAACACCCAGCCACGATGATGCGGTAAACCGTTAGAAGGTGCGGTGAAGCACAGATAATACAAAGATGCAGCGAAATCGTGCAGCTGTTGGTGCCCTGTTTTTCCCACTCATCTTTATCTCGGAACAATATAATAGGCTTGTCCACGAAGAAAACTAAATCGTACTGGATCGCCAAATGAGTAATGCACTGCCATTACGGCGATGAAGGTCGGCAAGATGGTATGGAAGCCATTACCGACTCGATCGCATTCCAATGAACTAACTCAAAAGACCGATATTTCATTAACTCCGGCATAAATAGTCGATATATGACATATGTGGGACCTCTTAAGGAAACTAAATAAATTAATTAAGAAAACGGCTCTGAAGAAAGCGAAGTCGCCGAAACGTCAGGCATCGAGCAACAGCAAGAAAAACAACAACAACAACAACAACAACAACAACAACAACAACAACAACAACAACAAAAACTGACACCAACCTCGCATCAGCTCAACAAAGGCAGTTCAGGTATACCGACTGAACTGCCTGAAAATTCCAGGCATCATTAGCATATATGCTGCCAGGCTTGCTTCTTTTTGTCAATTGCACAGAACTGCGTGTAATTTTCCGTCGCATGTGGCATGCATCACACCCAATGCATACTATCTCTTGGGCGGCGAAGAGTGATAATGCCCTTCGTTGTCTTCCACTCTTTAAATCGCTGTTTGCATTTTTTAACTCACTCTTATGTTTTTTGCATTTTAAGCATCCTATATGCGCCTACATGTTCAGTCTCATGTTTTTTTTTACATGTTTTGGAAAATACTTAACTGTTGTCTATGATGAAAAAGCTTCATCCACCGTCTAATCATGAAGCTTTCAATTTCTGCTAACCATTCCTTGAACGAACGTTGATTACGTTTTAACATTGTTCTGTGAGAGGGCAGGTAACACAGTGGTAGTGGTACTGAACATCACGAACACGGTTTTGGCTCGACCTTGACTTGGGCTCACCAAGCTTCTCTTCCCTTTAGGGTCAGAAAAATCGTACCAGACTTCCCTGGTTATAGTTCACTCTCTGCGATCCAAATGGGAACGCTCCAGCCCGGCATCTCAGGACTATAGGAAGAATCAACTCGACTAGCATTCAACGGCATTCACGATGAAAGAAAATTCTCAAGCAGCACCCGAATCCACACGAAAAAGCTGAAAGACCTAAACGGATGATGGATGCGAGGAAACGAATAGAATGCAAGAAGTGATGGGATCCCTAATAGTAGATTTGAAAGATGAGTAGTGTAAAATGTAAAATAAAAAATACAAATAACACATATCTTCTACTATTATTCATATTTGAGCGCAGGGGATAAGGCATATGGAAGCGCGTGCTTTCTGCGTCCGTGTTTGAATATCTTAAAACTCTCCTCACCAGTAGGGCGCGTGTGGCGCGGTGGTCGGAGGCACCCTGTAGCACACACGTGAAATGGATGCCCGTGCCCATGGCCCACCAAGCCTTCCATCCCTCCGGGGTCGAAAAATTGGTACCAGACTTGTGTGGGAGGATAGCATCATTGGCTCGATACATAGGTAGGCCAGTGCGAGTAATTGTAAAGGCCAGATATGCAATCAATCACCTCTAGGCGATGCTTAATGAAGTCGAATACATGACGCATCCCTCAAGGATTGATCAACGCCGAGAGCTTTATCCTTTTAATAAAAAACATTGAAACGGAGTACAACGTTTAAGCAGTATTTTGAGCTACAAGCATATTCACAGTACGTATTACTACAAATCTATGTGGAAATTATACATTGTTTTCAAATTTGAAGCGTTACGTCGATTTTCTTGCCAGATTCGAAAAACTTCTGTCCATGGTGGATAAGCCAACCAACAGCTGTTTATTTTCAGCAGTCACTCTATTCATTTATCGCTAAAAGTGCGAAAACAATCCATCCAGTTTTGAAGTGAACTTTGTCCTCGGCTACGTTCATTGTGAGGGGAGTGAGGCGCAGTGGTTACAGGTGCACTGCAGTACTCACGTAGTCTTTGGTAGACTCTGCCCCCCGGTTCACCAGAGCTTCCAACCAATTGTGGTCGGAAGAAAATTGATACTAGACTTGAGTGAGGCGAAAACCTCGCTGATACGGTTGCTCACCGTAAGCCATTGTATATGGGCAGATATGCAATCAATCAACTTTATTATTCTTGATAAAGCCGAAAGCAAGGCGCGCTCATCCCTTAGAGATTGATTGAGGGATTGAAGCTTTATCCTTTCATCCTTTCACGTTTACTGTACTGACAGAAATCATAGCCGGCACAAACTGAAGTGATGTGGAATCACATCGAAGTCGTCCATGGAGATGGGACGAAATTGAGAGACGGATAGGATTTCGTGGGAACTGCGTCCTTTCGCCTCTGAGCGCGCCAGCAGCAATGTGATCGGTGTTACTGGACGTGTCACTCCTGCAGATAGTGTTGGTCTTCATAAGGTACATATTTTGTGCGGACCTTTTTAACTTAAAATTGGTACCAGTGTTCAGGAAACGATCTCGATTGATATATGATGACTGAGTTCATCAGTTCATGAAAACCCATGGTGCGAAGGCGAAAAAATTGAACTCGATGGTACTCTGATTGCAGAGACCACCTCGTACATATACCTTGGGCGATCAATGAACATGGAAAACAGCATGAAGGAGGAACTATATGGAAGAAGGAGAGCAGCTTGAGCCGCATTCGGGCCTCTCAAAGAAGCTACTGCGCAACTGAAGGACTGAAAATCCGCCTTTACCTTTTCGATTCAATGGTCCTCCCAGCTCTCTATTATGGTGCAGAGACGTGGCCTAATACCTCAACCACGTCAAGAATATTCCGCACTACTCACAGAGCGCTTAAGCGATGTCTTCTGAAATATAACGGGCACTCTCAATATCTAGTCAGAATGCGAAGCTCTGATCTTAGAAATCTGTCACATTTTCGAGATTCAGAAGAATATACATCGATAGCGAAACATAAATGGGCTGGTCACATAATGAGAAAAACATACGAGAGATGGACGAAAAGACCTGTAGAGTGGACTCTACGAGAATGCAAGTGTCACCTAGAAGTACCACTTGCACGTTGGGCGGACGCGTTCGTAGGCAAAATTAATCAGCTGCACTCGCAGTTATTTTACAGGTCACGGTCACGGTCTGAGACTTGCACGCGCCACCATGCTCGAATAAAACCAACACCAAGCACGACAGAAAAAGGGAAGAAAACGAATGGCAAATGTGCTGGGGTTCGCACAACTCGTGTGAACGGACCATGCAAGTATCCAAGTAAGATAAGATGACTATAGCCTTAGGTGGAAGTGTTGCGTAGTTCCTTACTATTAAAATACCTAGACATACAATAAAACAATATTTTGGTGATCCTTTCTTCTCTAGAGTATAATATTTTGCGGTTAAAAATATTCTCTGTTAAAACAGTTAAAACGAAATGTTTAGGAAACACAAACGAAGACAATTACTAGACCACTTCGAAGTTAAAACATTCACTCTTCCTAAAAACATACAGCGTGTTAATTTCTGGAAGTTCTGATTTACCTTGATTCTTACTGTGAAAGCTTTGGACTCATGCTGGAAGTGAATCAACGTTTAGAAGAGAACAGATATGAAA